CCAAAACTATCCTCAAAACACTCTATCAGTCCATAATTTTCCTTGTACCTATTCATTACAGAACAATGGTAAATATTAATCAAGAAAAAAACCAAACAGAAAGCCAAATAAAATGATTCTTTTCATTTAGCAATTTCTGTTAAGTGCCTCACAGTTTAGTAACCTATACTTATTTGAATGTTTGTGCTTCTTAAGGACATAGAATGACTATATGTAAATAACAAATTTATATTCTCAAATTGCCAACAATTTAAAAATCATCACTGCAACTCTTTGAGAAACAATTTCTTTCTGGGCCCCTGTGGCTTCCTTAGGAAAATAGTTGTACTAGTATTTACCAGTATCACTTGAAGTTCTAAAATTTTATGATTCAAAATTCTATAATAAAGTAATTACAAAACGTGACTGTCATCAATTCACAGCATTAGTGTTTCATCGGGAAATTTGTGTATACAACATCTATATCCTAGACAAGGTACAAGAAGCAGAGATAATAGAAAATGCAAAAAACAGAGAAAAGACAGAAACAGGGCAGAAAAGGCAGAGAAAAAGCAAAAAATAAACAGCAACATATCCCCTGCTGTTTCAAAGATAAACAGCAATAATGAAGAAGATAGAAATTATGGAAAGATTTTCTTGATTTTTTTCTAATTGCCATTCATCATATACCAATACAGGTGAAAATGTTGAGCCCCATACAACATCTTTTCAAGATAATCTTCATTGCAGATAGGAAACTAATGTGATAAATTAATTTCAACATTTATAAACTAAGTGAATATTTCTCTCTATTGATCCTAAGCACAACCTTCCAAATTCATTATGAGGCCATAAGTAGTTTCATATTTATTGGGTTGTGAATTTCTTCTGACTTAACAAACTGTGCTGAGTAAAACCATTACTATAAACTAAAGTAACTAACATTACTATAAATTAACTAAAAGATGTGCTATATTAACTTAGAAACTTCTTCATATTAGTTTAGGATGTGATAAAAAAAAAACCCCAGGACTGGACAGGCAATGAAAGCTACTCTAGAAGTTGTGAAAATTTTGAATGCACTGAGAATTACTCAGAATTTAAGCATGACTCAGTCCAGGTTGGCAAACACTTATTGGCCATGTACCACACAGCATACACTGTGCTGGGTTTCCAGGAACACCAATATTCACAAACAATTTTTGTTATGCATGCAGACTAAATCTGCATGTTATATGAAGAACCTTAAGGTATAAGGTATAAGTTTCTGGAACGAGTAACATCATTGATAGCTATATAAATGTGAGTTAACAAGGGAGATAATCCAGTAAGTAAAGTGACAAAGAGAGTGTGTAGTGAAAACAGTGAATATATGCCACTTATTTGTTATGATATTACATTATAGTAATAAATTCTCCAAATATCTTAAAGGATAAAAAACAATAATTAAACTTTTAGAATAGAAACAAATTTCTTAAACTGAGCCAATTAAATGATTACACACCTTTGTAATGTTCAAAACGTGGCAAGAAAATGTAGCTAACAAATAAATCATGCTGTCTGCCTGAATAGATCAATGAGAAAAAGTTTGCTGTGTGTTCTTTGTCATTTATCCTGGATGCATCAGCAGAACCTGTATGAATGAAGGCTTTATATCCAGGAATTTTTGTGTGCATATAATCTGATGAGATACTCTGTACCTATTATAAGGGTCAGAATTAGTGACAGAAAAGAAGCCAAAATAATATAATCTTAATTCTAAGGATTACATCCAATTGAGTGACTCCATTACCACAAAATCCTCATTCTGTGTGTGAAACAGAGACTGCAAGCCATAGCTACAGCCATATCAGAGGACAACATCATTGGTGTCTAAGTAAATATGAGTCACTTGAGCAAATGTCTAAATAGAGACATCTTCATCTTCAATATCCGACCAAGTTTTGAACATATTTTAGAACTGGAATATAGAATAAATAGCTAGGGAATAAAAAGCCAGTTAATTTTTAAAGGGTTCTGAGATCCAGGCTAAAAAACTTCCATAGTTTCAAATTTTGTTGTAGCTTTTAAACTTAAATAAATAGCCAAAGTAATAGCAAAACCTATTATTTTGGCCAATTTATGTAAATATAAACTATGATTCTAAAAGTGTGTAACTGTAGAGTACTGCTTACTATAAAGTCCTAATGTACATCTTTCCCCAGTGATTCTGTGTCACTAGAATCTAGGACAGGATTTGGGAACCAGTAGTACATTTTTCCAGGTGACTGTAATGTAAGTGACATTTTCAGACAACTGCAAGTTGAAAACAATGGTTTTTAAAAGTCAAGGACTTTATTTGGTGGCTGCTGATTTCTATTTTGACAACGGAAAAACAAACACAGGATCTACCTTTAAGTAGTTCATGATCAGTTCAGGGGGTCAGATACCAAGGCAACCAAACATTTGAAATGAGATAGTAAGCATTTTATAAGGGTATTTTAAAAGTTCAAAAACAGAAATAATTATTTCTGTCAGAGATTAACGAAAATATTTTCAGGACAACAATTCTTAAGAGGTGACTGTATGCTGTAATTCAGTTACTAATATTTACATTCTTTTTTCTGCTTTGTCAGCACCTTATACTGCTTTTTCAAATTCTTTTGGAACTCAGTGTTAGTTTTAAGTTTTGACCAATATGTAAGTAATTATTTTGTTATTATCTTTGAATGTATTTCAAAGGACATACAAAGTCCTACAAATAACCATTGTACTTAGCTTACTGAGAACTATGACCTCCTCTATTTTATCTACTGAGCATTCATTGTGGTTCTCCCTTAAGTTAGGATTATGCTGTTATTAAAAGCCCAGAACCATGTTATTTTTCCTTTATTGGCTTAATGGGGGGGAGGGGGGTTAATATGTTTCCCAATTTGTATCACCCAATGCAACTAATCCATGATCGATAGTCTCATACTGCAGTGTTTTATCAGTAAATATTACACATCAAAGTGGCCATATATGATAAAGAAAATTACTTTATAATTGCTTCAGTAATTCTCAGGAAGTCAGATTGACTTGAGATAGTTTAACATCACCAATCCAGTGTCTTTAGAAACATGAAAGATTTAAGAAAGACCTACATAATGAAGAGTCAAATGTTTTCCTCAGAATATTAGCATGACTTTTTTTATACTTTTATGTTGAATTCTTTAGACATATCTAATCAGAATCAACCTAAATTTCTCAGATCAGAATCAACCTGGTTTTCTCAAATGCCAAAGAACTTCCAATTGTAATCCTAATATTGAAATACAATTACAAATAAAGAGTATGTATGGTTGGTACTTTTTAACAAAAACACATATAGATGTAGTGTTTAAATATTCTGTTACTCTATTATCTTTTTCAAGTAAATATTGCCCTACTTTAAGCTATTTGAAATGAATTATTCTATTAAATAATTAAGGCTTACCCAGTGGGAAAGATTTCTGCCCCAGAAATGTCAAAGCTGTTAATTAGTTTCTCTGATCTGTAGTCTATATTTAGTGAAGATATGCCCCTCCAGGAAATTAAAGAGTAGCACAGATCAGCTAGCGACAAAGAAGAAACCAACTCAAGTCTGTGTGTCAACTCCAAAGCGACTTCTTAGTGCTGTCCCAGAGGACATGACATTAAACACATCAAGAAGGAGAGAAGAACACAACAGACAAGATCGTTCTTTTCAATATATGAATTACTGGAAAAATAAAAATCATTCAGAATGGACTTTACACATTTGACAGCAGTATTATCTACAGGCATATATTCTTCTACACAATGGTAATGTCAAGGTGAGACTGGAATATTGAACATTAAATGAGATGGAGAGAAGGGGAGGAGAGCCTTGAATCACTTGGCCAGTACACAACTGAAATCAACAAAGTCAGTTTCAAATTCATTGTGTTTTATGTGGTCTTTGTAATATAAAAGGAAAAATATATGAACAACCCACGATAGAAACCTCTGGTTTGCTGTTTCTCAAAATCTCTCTAGTATGATGTCACTTATTATGGATATTTACACCTATTGCCACACAAACAATGTAAAGTGAAATTTGCTAATATATAGAAATACTTAATATAAAAAACCATGGCTTAGAGCTATCCAATCACTGCTACAAAGGTGGAGTATGGTAAAGATAATGCAAAGGTAAAAAGGAGCATGATCAGTATCTGGAATCTGATAAAAGGAAATTTGAGGGTTAATAGAGAAAATCTCCAATAAAAGATATTAATTCTTATGAAAAGAAGCTTCAGTAGGTGAATTAAAACAGTAAGAGGATAAAATAGAGCTTGTATATTTTAAATATGATTATAAATTTTATAAATAACATCAATGCCTACAGAAAGACTTGTTTATTCTGCTAATTGTACAAGATCTCAAAAACAAGAATTTTCTGAATTAATTTTAATAAACTAACATTTATAAGGCACAAACCATAAATATGATGCTAGGCTAAATGTGATAGAAAGTCTGAAATAGTAAAAGCAAGTGAAAGACATGATCTAGTCTTATGAGGATTTTAAAAAGTATTGAATGATACAAGGTTGGTTATTTATGAGAGAGACAAATAAAATTTCATGCCCTAATCGCAATCATAATGTTTACACTAGGTGCAAGATGAAAAATCTCCGATTCACTTTTTATGCAACAAAAGATCAATTTTCTTCATATGTCATCAGCAATGTAAATAAGAGTATCTTCGTCATCATCTTATAATTCTAAAGGTGAAAGTTCTTAAACATGAAACAGAAAACTAGATTTAAAAAATCACAGTCAGAAAAGCAAAGATCTTTAAAAGAGGTTAGAATAAAAAGTTGATTCATTAATTCATTTCTTAATTTCTGGATTTAAGAAAAACAATTCAAATATCTTGAATAAAAAGTCAAAAGAGTAACTCAGTTTCATGGGGAAGCACAAATAAACAAAACCACAACCACAACCAACCAACACTAATCAAAGGTGGTGCTCTTTGTGGGTCCTTTCTAAAGATTGGTAGAAACTGCAGGTTTTAATCTGTTTTCATGCTCGCCCAAGATCTTTAAAAGAGAGACAGAGAGACTATATAAAAGAAGATCCTAAAATTCATACCAATACATCATAGGTAAGGAAACTTACCAGACTTGGCATTTGATCTTCAGTGATGGACCTGAAAACCACCTCAGATTATTTGGATTATTACTATGCTACAAGCCCAAACTCTCATATCAAGGGGAGCTCCCAAGTTCCTTACACGCCTGTGTTCCTTTCTGTCTTTTACACAGCTGTGTTCCTGACTGGAGTGTTGGGCAACCTCATCCTCATTGGTGCACTGCACTGCAAACGTGGCAGCCGAAGACTAATTGACATCTTTATCATCAATCTGGCTGCCTCCGACTTCATTTTTCTTGTCACATTGCCTCTTTGGGTGGATAAAGAAGCATCCCTTGGACTGTGGAGAACAGGCTCTTTTCTGTGCAAAGGCAGCTCTTACATGATCTCAGTCAACATGCACTGCAGTGTCTTCTTGCTCACTTGCATGAGTGTTGACCGCTACCTGGCCATCATGTGTCCAGCTGTATCCAGGAAATTCAGAAGGAGAGACTGTGCGTATAGAGTCTGTGCCAGCATCTGGTTTATCTCCTGCCTTCTTGGGTTGCCTACTCTTTTGTCCAGAGAGCTCACGTTGATTGAGGATAAGTCATACTGTGCAGAGAAGAGAGCCACTTCAATGAGACTGACATGGGCGCTTGTCACTTTAATTTTCACCTTTTTTATCCCTTTGCTGAGCATTGTGATCTGCTACTGTTGCATCACAAGAAAGCTGTATACTCACTACCAGCAGTCAGGAAAGCACAACAAAAAGCTGAGGAAATCCATAAAGATCATCTTTATTGTTGTGGCAGCCTTTGTCTTCTCCTGGTTGCCTTTTAATACTTTCAAGCTCCTGGCCATTGTTTCTGGATTGCAAAATGAACTCTATTTTTCATCAGCTGCTCTTCAGCTTGGGATGAAGGTGAGTGGACCCTTGGCATTTGCCAACAGCTGCGTCAACCCTCTGATTTACTATACTTTTGATAGCTACATCCACCGGGCCATCGTGCACTGCTTGTGCCCTTGCCTGAGGAACTCTGACATTGGGAGCAGCACTGAGACATCTGATAGTCACCTTGCCAAGGCTCTTTCCAACTTCGTCCATGCAGATGATTTTGTAAGAAGAAGAAAGAGATCTGTGTCATTCTAAAAGCATCTATGACATTTCAAGCTCCTTTGGTGCTCTTAAAGAGAATTAAGTTTTGTCAACAACAAAGAAGAAAAATACTAGTAAGATTCATATTTCTTCATAAATCCAAGAAAACTAATTTTTAAAAGGAGCACAAAAAGTCCTGTGTCATGACATAAGAAGGCCAAGTGTAATTTCAGTGGAGTGGCCTTATTTAACACTTGACAACCAAGTCAACAAAGCAAAATACAAGTTCTATCTGTTTTTTTGTAGCTCAGATAAAGGTTGCTTTTGTATCAGTTGTTCATAGTAACTCTGGACTGGAAAAAGATCTATGAGGGAAAAATCATTTTGTATTGTGTTTGTGATTGGAGCCTACTTTGTCATCTGGTTTTCTAGAGTGTTTTAACAAGTAAGCGTGCAGCAAGATTTGACCTTTATTTGCCTTATAAGATATATTTGTAGAGATGATGCATTTCATTATAATTCTATAACTGCTTTTAATGGAGTTTTACTATGTCCTTTGTTTTCATTGTCTTCATAAGCTAAGATTTGACTTTGGCTAATTATATGTTGTTATATGGCTATCAAATGAGAAGGTTAATACTAATATAATTGAAGCTTGACACATGCTTAGATCCTCCCTCAGCAAATAATTATCTGGTGTTTTAATTGAGATGCTTTTGTTCATTCCTCATAGCATCATTTGCTTGTATAATTTGAGGTTAAAAGTTAGATAAAGGGAGACAGGCTGCTCTATATTTGTCCAAATTGAGAAGTCTGTAACAAAAATGTTACTAGTTTTCTATAGACATTTTCTAAACCCATAGGCCTTCTTGAATTGCTTAATATAATAAAATATTTATTGAGTCAATTTATGTCTATATTCAATTTGTACCTGTACTCTTTTAAAGACCATAAAGTGAAAAACGTACAATTAGTGGCACCCACAGAAGACTGTGTAGCAGCAGACATACTATTGTGAACTATTTTGATTCAAGAAAGAGTGCACTGTTTTTATCTCCACTGTTAACCCAAATGAATAACTTTATTTCTAAATATTAGACTTAGAAATTTAAAACAAGTACAATCTTTTCAGAGATTAGGTGATGCTATTTCAACCATTGAAACTTTCAAATCAAAAGAAATCTCAAATAATAGACATCTCATATTGTAACCTCTACCTATACATATTAATTTCTAATACCATATCAATGTTAATACCAATATTCTGACAGCCTTTTAATAAGTTATCATGTTTATATAAAAACTATATAAATCACAATAAATAAAGCTTCTAAGAAAATCTAAAACCAAATTTCAAAATAATTAAGTAAACCTCCAATGTTAAATCAAAACAAAACACAGGAGGTAAAAGACACAGTTTTTTAAAAAACAAATCAGCAAAAACACTTTTACTAATCCTGAAAGTTATTGCCTTTTAGAAACATTACTTTTTTAAAAAATAGTTGAATTAATCATCCAAGGTATATAAAAAAAATGAAAATTCCTGGTTTTTTGTTTTAGCTTTATCTTTAATGTTAAGACATTAAGAAGGTCATTTTATTATTTCATATTTAAACTTTAGTGGTAATATCTATGTCTAAGGAGTTATCAAGAATGGTATAAGACTAAGAAAAAATACATTTTTGAAACATTAAGTAAAAAAGTATCAAGTAAAAATTTACTGCTAAACTGCGATTGAATTTCTGTTTTTCACTTCTAAATGCTGCTTAAAAATTCACAACCTGGAATACTAAATGATAAATTAATCATCCTCATGTAACAATTATTTAGAATCTGACTTACTTTAATTTTATGCCTTTAATTTTTGCAGGGAATGGCAAAAATTCAAGGTCACATCAAATTAAAATTATATTACTGGACTTTTTAATAAATAAATAGAAATAATAATTGTAAACATAGAAAAAAATTTTAGTATATTTCGTATTTATAACATGTCCATTACAGAAGGAAAAATGTATACAATTTTATAGATAATGCAACTAATAGAAAAAGTTCAAAAAGTCGACATGTTACTGTATCATATATAAATTTCTCTGTTATGAAATGTAATTAATAGTAGCACTAAAAATGTACTATAATTTTTTAGTCATGTATACTGTGCGTATTTTTAAACCATATTTCAACATGTTACTATGAATGAGTTCAATTTACACACATATAGATAGCGCTATATGTACAAACATAAACATGTAGTAGTTACATAATCATGTTTTACAGGTTGTATCCTAAGTTAGAAAAACAAATCAAAATTTAATGAGCCAGAGTAAAGACATAAGAAAATCACTACAGCATAGCATTACTTGTAATTTGATTTGGCACTCTAAAGTTACTATAGTATAGGGCTTTAATGACAATAGAAAAAGATAGTAATCACCAATGTATGTCTCTAGTGATTTTTCTTGGATTTAGTTCAGAAAGATTCTCCAATAAGCCCTGAGTAAAATGTCTTCTGATAATTTAGAATTAATTTAAGATAAATATTGTCAAGACACATATATATAGTCCAAACACATTGCCAAATTCAAAGATTAAAACTAACCTGATGTTCCTTGTGAGTCACTACCTGTCCATTCTAAAGAGTCAAAGTCGCTTCTGTGGTGAACAAGTTACAATACTGGTTTTAAAGGGAAGCTGTGTGCGTGACAGAGTGATCTAGTTCCACAGGTCACAAGTTAATTCTTAAATAGGTACCTAAATATACAGCATGATGGTAAATTGAGTGGAAGAACTCTTCCTCTATGATTCATCATAACTCCTCAAATCACTCTCTTTAGCCAGCTCAGAAGTGAGAAATGAGTCGTCTAGTGTGCATGCCCCAGAAAAGACTATGCCTCCATTTCCCTACAGAGTTCATTCACAAAAGTAAAACAGTACTAAGAAAAATTAGAATTCACTTCCAAGTTCAGGTAACTGCTGTAGCTTGTGAGGAAGATGATAACTCCAGTCTCATTATAGAAAGAGAAATCATTAGGGGCAAACAATAGGTGGTAATTCTAACTGTCATAGTTATAGTTACTGGTTGCTACATTTTCCCTTTTGGCTTCCATGAAAGTTGGTTTAGATTGGATTTTCCCCCTGAAAATATCTGTTGCTGTTTTATTATTTGAAGTTCTTTTCTTATGTCAACATTCTTTGTTTTTATTAATTACATGAGTAACAAATTTTGATTCAAATTTACATATTAGTGTGCAGGAGAAAAAGAATCAGTTGCCTTTGTTACTAATATTCAGACTAAGGTATTTCATCTTAGTATGGTTATTTTATATCTATCTGGCTGATACTGAATATAAGAAAAGAGAATATAAAATATAAAAAGAAAAATATAGTAAATAGAAAACAAAATAAAACGGCATATGCAAAATATATCGACATCTAAAAGAATACACATAAATTGATTAAAGTGTTAAATAGTGTGCTCTGTAATATTTTATGTTTTTTATTGATAATCTATCTGATACTGTGTTAGACTTTAAGATTTAAATAGATAGAAGGAGAACTTATTTCCTCACAGTGTATACAATCCACAGTTATTTTTTAAAAAAAGAATGAATTACTGACATTCAGGTAAAAGCGGATACATAAATAAAAAGACCAAGAGATGGAGAGGGGGAGGAAGAGGAAGGGAAGGGAAGGGGGTGTAAAAGAATTAAGATGTGTTATGTACATGTATCACCTTATCACAATGAATATAAATATTATGTACTGCAAATATATACTAATGAAAAGAACAAAATAAAATTACTAGTAAAATAACTTCTTTGATCTTTTTCATTAAGGAAAAGCCCATACTTATTCCCCAGAGAAGCACTGCTGTGTAACTGACATTACAGTATGATTATTTTCTAAAGGCTGTTATATTTCTTCAAAGAAGTATTCATACTAGCATCCCCAAGTGAAATTCTTCTCAATGCCCTTAAAGATTCCTAGGCTACAGATTACTATAAACACAATGACACATTTTGAACATCTTGAACACAGCTCCAGACACATATCTTGAGATTTATTTTTAAATGACAAACTAAAATGGTGTGAAGACTGTGTAAATCCACTAGAACCTTTCCCAGATACAGTGATTTGATAAGATGCCCTCTCACTTAACCTCAGCTAAGAGCAAAAACAAAACTAAACTCAGATAGAGAACTAATAAATGAGAAATGAAACGTGGCCTGTGGTTTCATTTTTAAAGCAAAAACACAAATTTTGAAAGCTTGAAGGTGGATGGAAATGGCTACTTTATTTATAATGGAAAAGGCATTTATGACAGGAAGACTTGCCCTATGTACATTAGTAAAAATACTTTAAAGTCAGGAAAATTAATAAAGGATTGAAAGTCAGTGCAGAAGAACATAACTTTCACAGTCCTTAGGATTTGAAATCATGAGGTCTTCCTTTCTATAATTCAAACAGAAAAACTACTGTTAATGAACATGAAAATGCCAGATAATAAAGATAGACAAATTAAAATTAAGAACATAATACTATAAGAATAGGAAATATTTAAACATTATTATTGGGTTTTACCATGATGGGATTGTTAGGTGTTAGGAAGGATTACTGAGTGTAATTTGATTAAGTTTCCTAAAGTAAATTTAGAGATCCATATTGAAAGCAACTCCAATTTATAGTGTTTTACCCTGAATAATAATTATGGCCATATGAGAAAATATTTGTATATGCAATTTTTTGGAGAATTATTTGCAAAAATAGAAAAGTAAAAACAACTAAATGTCCAGAATTGACAGAATAAGTAAAGATTTGTGTGTAATCTTGCTAGGAAATATTATATAGCCTTTAAAAATACAGTAGCATATACAAAAATGTAAAGGTCATCATAATTATGTAAATAAAAGAAAAAAAAGTAGACTAAAAAATATTATCCATGGGACGATCACTCATTGATATAAAAAAGCAAATATATTAAAATCTTACACAGAAAACATTAACTGTTTTCATTAATAGAAACTTCATTAGATAGTTAAGTGTAAGGTAATTTCTATTTTTATTTGTATTATCAGTTATATTTTTCAAAAATAACATTTATTATAAGCTAAAATTTAGTACCTTTTTAAAAACTGATGTAGTAAAAATAGTAGCTAAAGTAAATTAATTGTGAAACATAAATTCTGAATTATGGATCCTCTTGAATTTATTTTGCTATTTTCTCGGGGAGAGCTGTGGGGATAACACCTACATTCACCTCAAGAACTTCCTCAATAATCTTTGAGTTCTTTCTAAGGAGGTCCCCTGTCACCATTGTAAGCATTTTGTTACTTAAAGGCAGTGGTTTGTGAATTGTTATCCTTTTAAAATTTTTTAAATGATGATGACCATTTCAGCGTTCAAGCAGGTCTCTTATCTTTTCCATGCCTCCTTGCCTTCTGAACATTAAATCATCTAGTGTCACATGTCTTGCAGCTAAAGAGAGTTTCCCTAATTTTGGGATGAGAAGTGAGTCAGGGAAACCATGTGAATATATATACCTTTGGATATACATTAAAATATACATATTTTCCTTTATTACCCATCAGGCACTCATGATTGATGAACTAAGCCAAACATGGCAGAGACAGCAAACCACTGACTAAAATTACAATGAAGAATTCTTACAAACATTAAATATTAAAAGTTTATGTGCCTGTTTTTTTGCATTGAATTTCTTTTGATTCTAGTACGTTGTAACTCTGAAAGAGAAGGAATCTATCCCAATCACAGTTATTTACAAACAATCTTACAACTTTAACATTTTAAATCATTCTATTTATGCTATAATTAAATAAATAATTGCTGCGGTAACTTTTTCTTGATTCCCATTCAGTTCTTTGTGTAGCACCGATATCTTATTTAAAT